ATACCTCCTTAAACCCCTTCTCTCCGGCGCATGGCAGCGCCATGTTCTTCTCTCTCCCTTCCCTCTCCTTTCTCTCTTCCTCCCTCCACCCTCCCCTTTGCCCCCTTCCTCTATCCTTTCTTCCTCTATCCCCCTCTCCCCCCGCTCATCCGGCTGCCACGGCAGCACCATGTAGAATGAGACTGAGTGTGCTCGATCGGTGTTTATATAGCCGCTGTGGGTGTTATCATGATCATGACATCAACATCTCGAAGTGTTGCCCTTCGTACTCCATGGTTTTGTGAGCGAGCGCTTGGTCCGGAGACGGACAGAACGACACACACACCGACAAACCGACACACCAAGGTTCTGGTTGATATATTGAAGTGATTCGATCAATCGCTATTTTGGTGCGTCGGTTTGTACAGAATAGGCCAATAAAAAAGGACATTTTGACTATGTCGCATTTCGTCAGCGTTTTTTTTCTCGCAGAGATTGCGTCGTTGACGGAAGTTCCTCAGCAAAATATTCCCTAAATGTCCCTCTATTAGTAGACGCAGGCCCTCCTTCACTGCCCTCACCGTCTTCAGAATATGACGTCATCTGTCATCCGTCGTCGAGCTCAAGGAGGCCTACAGTAATAGCTCATCGTTGGATAGTTTCCTAGAAGCATTAGCTCTGAATATGCAAACCCCTCGAAACCCGCTTTTCAGAAAACGTCGTAATGGTATGGGGTCCGTCCACGACCCCATTGAGCACGACCAGTACACCATGTTTCAGTGCTAATTTTTCCGATTTCGTCCACCTTGAAGGCAATATGAAGTTTATTTTATAAATGGAATGTGCTCTTTCATTTTAAGTTGAGACCATTCGGTTCGAATTTAGCAGAGTGTGATTAAATCGGTTTGAATGTGGAGACAGAATGTGTCTTTTTTTATTGCCCCCCCCCCCCCCCCTTTATGTACGTCCGTCCGTCCGCAAAATGAAGTGAGTGATAAGGCAGCTCATGGAATAAACAAACCGCTAACAAATCGGGTAGCTCGCAGGATTTGCCTATCAATGTTTTGCAATGGCATGATTGTGATAACACCCCAACGGCTATATAAACACCTGCTTAGCACACTTTCGGTCATTCCACAAGGTGCTGCAGTGGCAGCTGGAGAGCAGTGGGGGGTGTGATAAGGTGAGGAGGAGAAACGCCAAGCATCGCAGCGAGGGGGAGTTCCGACGGTTGCCGTAAGACCGCTCTGGTATAAAATATTTTTGACCCTGTACATGAACTGCATACCAAAACTTCCCTTCTCTCGCCGAGAGGGCGTAGACGAGCAGAGCGGCGCGCTGAGAGCCGAGTTCTCCTTTTAAAATTGAAAACTATTTCATTCAGACGTCTGTAACAAAAGTGCATGTTGAGTTTTCAATCACTCCTATTCAAATGTAGTCCCTCCAAGGGCATGAGAGCCGTTTTCTATTCTGCTCATTCTCACTTGAGGTATGAAACGAACTCGATTTTCCAGATATGAGATCTCGGCACCGTGGAAACACTTGTACACCAGAATTTCTTGTGATGAGGTCCCACCAACTCACGTTAGCTTGGCGCTAGATGATCAACAACGTGAGGTGAAAATACTTCTAATCTGGTGAATATTCATGCTTTTCCATAAATGTGATAGCGGAGTAAGTTGGTACAAACCAGATTGAGCCTGAAACATGACAACTCCCGTTAAATTTCTTGAGGGTACTCACGTATATAATCCATTGCATTAGTAGATAGGTCCTGTTCCTCATCTGGCGGCGCGGCTCTCCCCGACGTCTCTCTTTCTCCCAGGCTGAGGATCAGGGCCCTAAAATTCGAGCCGCTGCGTCAATTCAACAAAGTTGACTTCCAGATCTTTTCGAGCAGAGCAATGAGAGATTTGATTAAATACAAGAGCTTCTTCTCCAGTGGGTGGGAACAGGGTCAACTGTCGCGTTCGATTTTTTTTCAAGTTTCGCCCTTGTAGGACGTCTTTTTGTGACCCCATCCCCATCGCATCCCAGCCAGCACACTCTAATAACAATAATCTCTAGACCATCGACACACTCCAATAACTCCACTTCCTTCCCAATACGCCGTCTGAGCGGCGAGTAAATCTTTCTGAGTAAAAGCAAGCAGATCCTACAATTCGTCCATTTCTTCTACATTCCGACATAACGTCGCAAACATGTTTTACAACCCGCAACCACCGCCCCCCACCCAAAATACACACCGGTCCGCCTTTTCCAGATTACTTAACCATTCCACCCCAAATCGACTGTCCCCCCCCCCCCCACGCGCTGGCGTGCAGCAATTTCCTGACACACTTATCCGGTGCACAGACATCGCAACAGCCCGGACATAAGCCGCTTTTATAACAGTAAGGGACGGCATGCTCCATAAAGGATGGAGCTATAGTGGTTGATCGATACTTTTCTGAACTAATGTGACCCTTTGTAAGCAGTTGTTCTCTTTCAGATAGAACAGTACTCGTCAGAAAGCTTTTCCAACCAAAGTGTAGTGAAGAACGACACAAGGTATATTTATAAACTTGACACAAGACACAGCCCTTGTAAGCTCTCCCTATCAGTCAATCCGAAAGTTGGGTGAGGCGTGTCACCGGAAGTGATGTGCACTTGATAAGAAGTTGCGTGGACAAGCTGCTTGCCAGCATGCTTTGTTGATAGCCAGCGATGTAATGTTGGAAGCAGCTTATCCACATAGCTTCTATCAACTGCACGTCATTTCGTGACACGCCTACCCCAACTCTAGGATCTCGGGTATATGTATTTCTACACAAAGTAGATTGAAATCTTGCACTGTTCTAACGTCTTGCTTCCCTAATATGTTAAATCAATTAAGCACCTACGAAGGGTTATATTTAAATTTTTCGTTGTCGGCCTACATCCAAAATGAAGCCAACCTTTCCCGAATACTAGTGAGGACTATAACCTATTCTGTGAGATGCTGTTTAATCCGTCATACCTTAAAGGTATAAAATAGCAGCTTCAAAAAAAGGGGAAAAAGGGACGAACATACGATGCTGACATCCCCGCCCTAATCCATAACCATGCGCGACATGCGGCTCGACGCGGGAACGCACTTTTTTTGCCACGACGGACAATGCGGCTCGATGTGGGGACGCAGCATTGAGATAACTCTTCTCCGCAGGATTTCCAGAAGTGTTCCAATAGCATACTAATCAGGAAGGCGTTGTCATACTTACGGTATTAATGGTCAGTGCATATCTTCCTTAGTTGATGTTTTACACGAGCGGTACTTGAAAGTGATTTTCCAAGGCGAAAGCTTGTTATTTTTGAATGTATCCAGCTGGCTTTTCGCCTGGAGTCAGCTAGAGTAATGCTACAACATTTCACAAAGAGACATCCCTGTCCGGGCCCTCATTCCGTAAGTGGAGATGAAGACTTTCCGTTTCTCTTGGCATACCAATAATACTATCCCCGGCCCCACCGTAATAAAAGGATGTTAACTGCGTATCTGGAAGCGTCTCCCCAATTCCAAAATTACGAACCCTTTGCCAAAGTTCCCCAGGAGTCAAAGCCCTCCCAAGAAGGATATCAACGTTCTTTTTGGGCCGGGTTAGCTGGCATTTTGAACATTTCGAAAACTCTCAAAAGGCGCGCGGTCCCCGACCCGGCAGTACAAGCGAAAAATCGCGATTGTCCGCCAATGGGTTAAGCATCTCGATCACCGTCCAGGCGAACTCAGAAGATGCAGGCAACGACGAATGGCGCAGGCCCTGGCATCGTCCACAGTGCGATCGTTTCGAAGACATGGGGAGTGAGCCGGAAGTATTTTTTAAATACTATAGAATGACTTCTTTCACACCTCGTCAAATATCTTCATTCCCCCCTATTGTATTCCTAACTCAATGTGCTACTCGCTGACGCTATAATTTTCGTGCCGTTGGTAGAAGTCGTGGATCTAGCACTGTACTCCTCCGCTCGAATAATCAGCAAAACATTCTGAAAGGCAGCATTCCGGCGGCCGCAAGTTTTACGCGCGGCGCCAAAGCAGCGCCAACCAACCTCGAGGAAAATTTGAAAACACGACCCCACCGCCATGTCCTGCCCCCCACCCCCTACCGAAAAGGCAACCGTCCATGGGCGCCAAAGATTCCTGCCCGGGCCGGCTCGTTTTTTTGCGGCACCATGCCAACATTGGCACATTGCCAGCGAGTGGCCCCGCCCCAATCTCGATCAATAGCTGCAGTCGCGCGCCAAAATCGAGAATATAAAGAGAGGTCCGGTACTGTTGGCAATATCGTCGGTTTTATTCTTCGCTGGTGTCAAAATTGGATGCTGTTATTCAGTGTGCTACTTCTACACAGCTGTTATTCGGTTGTTCCTTGAAGGTATATTATTCCTCGAGATTCTTCACAGCTCTTTTATCTCGGTAAGTTACATCCTGTGAGAGGTATGTCGGTATGAAATGAATTGTAACCAAACTTTCTGTGATTTGTGTTCATTTCAATTTGTGCCGGCATCCATAACTGTTTCGTTAATCACTGAGAGTTATTCCTACACGTACATGTCGATTTCATTGACTGACTTCATACATTTAACACATTGAGAGATTGAGAACGCTTTATTATTCATTGGTCATTACTTCCTTCCTTTGCTATTCTCGAGGGTCTTCGCCGTCACTGCCAGGTTCATCGTGCGGTGGACCGCCTTTCGTGGCACGGCTTTGCTTGCGCTGCAATTTTTTTATGAAATTTGGATGCAACGACTTTGAATTTGAAAAGACTCACGGTATAGAGCTGTACTTTTGGCAGCTTTGGCTTCCCTCCAGGTTTGGCTAGCTCTGGTCGCACGGCTATCCCTTGTAAGGGCGTCAGGTGCATTTTCGAAGCTTCATCTACTAGGTCGTCGATCGCCGAAAGCATTTCTCTTGCCTCCTCGGTATCTGTATTGACTAGTGCGTTCACATTAGTTTGGAGCACAGATATTTTCTGAAAATTTCATGTTTTATTTCAATATAAACATAAGTCCTCTCTGCTCACCATATTGATAGAACTTCTCAGTTGATCTCTCTGCTGTCTTCTTTCCTGAGCGGCGCTTATTTCTCCGGAAGTGGTGCAGTACTTGGTCCGGCAGTATCTCCAGGTACTCCCACTTCTTCCTCAGTTGCTTGTATCTGGTGAAAGTTCTGAATGCCGCCCTGTTGGCAGCCTGACCATGAAGCATCACAGCGTGGCGATGAATGCAGCTGATTCCTGCTCGATTGTCCGTACAGGAGCACGACCATGCATATGGGCAGACGTCGCAGAGGGGGCAATGGACATTCCCCTGTGCAGCGTCGCTGCATTCGCAGTCGCTACGCCGCTGTACATGGGTAATGTACATGTAGGCCCCTCAGGTTGCCTTGTAAGTACTTGCCATTTTCCGGTGCTCAATTCGCAAATTCTATCAGGATAATGAGCCAAAAAGTTTCATGGCCTGGCGGATGGCATATGGCGGTCTGTTGGACGCGGTAAGAGGCTTCAGCCAGCCGACGACGAGCCTTAAGAAAATGCTGCTTTTATTCAACATAGTAAAATTGTTGCGATATACCTTGATTTCATCTGACTTCGACATCTCTTCCACGGCTCTAATCAGAAGGTCCACCAGGCAGTCTGCTCTGGCATTAGCGTTTCTGTGAAGAAATTCTGTTTTCAGAACGCAAGTGCCACCTCTCACTAATCATGGTGGTGTCCATTATGGCACCCTGATTCGAGAATGATGCCCACGTAGGTGTTCTATCTTAAATAGGGTTTATATAAGTTGAGGAGCAATTAACACAATTAAGTCAACTTGTACTCAGGTAGTTCCGCCTCAGGTAATCCTCCATTTGACCTTGGCCCTCGACTCGGAGAAACGCGAGAATTTCACCAAATTTTTGTTGGAACGTGGGCAAGTCTTCGATTTTGAGGAGATCTCTCAGCATCTTCTTCAATCTGTTCCGAATTTGAGGCTGAAACTTTGGTTCATAAATGTATCGGGGAATGGTTGAGTGCATACCGCATCACTAATAATAGAAATAATTTCACCAAACTTCTTTAATTAATTTAACAGCGTTTCTCTGCCACGTCCTCTCAATGTGCCATCTGCAGTAGTGAAGTTTGGCTTGCGAATGAGGAAACACCGAACGAAAACCGTTGTAAAAGCACGGCGCTTCGTCGGTAACTATTTGCTTAGGATTGAATTCGGGTATCACGCTTTGGATTTCGAGAAAAAGTTTCTCTACATCTGCAGAAGTCATGGTCCCACTGAGTAGGAAGGCTTAAATATTGTCGTTTCAATTCCACTGGATCCATATATAGTAACTGAATTCGTCTACCTGCTGGAACACCCGCGTCCCTCTCGTTCAAAACCGTAACCGTCGCCAGCTTGAGATTGTATCGTGTGGCGTTATGTGTATCATCAACGGAGATTCCTCGATGCGAAAACTTCTTCAACCATTCCACTTGCTGAGGGGTGATAATGACTGAAAACAATGTTTGAATGGACAAACTTCATTTCATTTGTAACAGTCCTCACTCATGCGAAATCCTTTTCCGGTAAGGATCCTCAGCTAATTCTAGTAGTCTGATTCCATCGTCCGGATTCCCCTCTTCTTGTCTCGCTTTCAAAGACTGCATATCGTCTTTATGCCGGAATCCGGGTCTCAACCCAAAACGTTTTACAAGACTCCACAGGTCTCCTTTGGTCACGTAGTGCAGTCTTGACGTGCTTGCTGGAGACTCTTTTCTAAGGCGCTTTATGATATAATCATGCGAGAATTCTAAACAGATTTCTGAGATTACTGTTATAGTGTTGCGAAGAATATTGAGTTTTACCACTTTGACGCACCTTCTAACAGCTCTTTGAGGTAAGCTTGCTGAGCTTGTGTCAGGCGTAAGAGGGCGGGATCGACTTTGTGGCCCACATGTCCCAGGCAACCTTTCACACTCACAGATTCCGTCATCCTCTATTTTCACGTTAAGAAAACAGGAACAGTGCGATACATCTTTCTTAGTGTGTGTAGCCTGAGTCTCCGTCTGTTTGACGTATCTTCCTGCTCTGTTGCATCTGATGTGAAGTAGTTTACTAGAAATATTGAATTGAGAAATGAACATGTACGGCTAGCTACCTTAAATAAATAGTTCCTCTGGAGTGTGAACTGTCCCGTGTGTGAAATGATACACCTCCATGTTGCTGGCGGTCCTCTAACCATTCCTGTAGAGGTCATAAAGAGTATAGAAAATCTCGGAACCACAATCACCAAGCATGTTTTTACAAGCTTACGTCGTACTCTTGCTTGCTGCGAAAACTGATTGTAAAAACAGTGTAGTCCTGCGGTTCTCCCTCAGCTCCTTCTTCTTCATGCTCCTCTTCACAATGCTTCGCAAGTTGTTCTTGTGTTATAAATCGGTCATCACATAGTGGGCAGACAACATCCCTTCTCTCAGCAGCACTTGACTGAGCTGCTTGGCGGCTCACATCGTCCTTCACTGCCTCCACTTGTTCATTAGTCCAGAAGTGCACTACTCGCAGATGTGAGTAGATACTCTTCCTTAGCAGAACTTTATTGCACAGATGGCATGTCCACAGATCACTTGGCATTTCCTAGTATATATGTTTTAAAATTGCAATAAATTGTGATATACATTTAAGTGGAACAAATTGTGCAGTGGTAATTAGAAAACTGGCACGAACTGAAGCAAGAGCGGTTATGGGCTTTATCGAGGGATAATGTGATGCTCAACTTGTGAAATATTCACACAATCACGAGCTACTCACCTCACCGGTCATTTCAACACATCCTTTTAGGACCAGCTTGTTGGTCCAGAGATGACGATACCTACTGTACACTGAGGGATTTGTTCAAGGAAAAGCTGATCTCGATCCTGGTCTCGTTGCCATAACAGAAGGTTCACTCTTCAGAATTGAGTGAACCACCTCTGTTAGACCCGATAACAGATCGTATGTGGACTTTGCAGCTATCAAGGGACATAGAGGGTAATGGATACCACGTGTAGACATTACAAGCCATCAGCATCGAAAATAGTAACATCCAGGAGTCAAGTGAAAAGAGGTAATGGAGGAAGGAAGAACATCGTACAAAAATCGAATCATCCAGGAGAAGCCTTTTTTCATGAAAAACAAAATCTTGGAAAAAAACTCACAACTGTGATTCCATCAGCATACCTGTGAAAGCAGTTCAAGGAGAGAATATTGATTGCAAATAGTGGTAAAAGCATCTGCTTTTACAGACGGTAGCAGTGAATATTTGCAGATTCAGTTGATTAACAGCAATGTCCAAAATAAATTGTTGGTTCTAGGGTAAAAACTTCCGAATATTGCAGCATCAGCAGAATCGCAGTAGTTTCCAGGATGTACTGTTGGTTCGGAGTGCAGAGGTTTTGAATAGTTGTAGAATTAGTCGAAAAATAGCAAATATAGAAGCAAATCCTCAATTTTGGCGCGCGGAGCACTGCAGCTATTGATCGAGATTGGGGCGGGGCCACTCGCTGGCAATGTGCCAATGTTGGCATGGTGCCATCGCCGGGCCGGCGGAAATCTGGCCGCCAGTCTATGGTGTAACAACCCTCTTCAAAGGCCGAATATGAAAAGCTTGTTTAATTCTCCCCCAAAACTGTTCATAAAAAAGCCCTGCTACCCCACCGTCCACAAAAAATTCGTTTAAGAAGTACAAAAGTGAAAAAGTCAAAGAATGATCATTATTGATGAGTCCTACCAAACGAGCAAACGAAAAAGAGCAAAAAACGACAAACTAGTCACTAAAAATGGCATACTATGACAACATCTCTTCTTTATTTATTCACAATTAGGAAGACTTACCAAATTGTAGTACTACACAGAGTATGGTTCTCAATTTACACGTCCCCCTTTCAACTTGAAAAAAAGCCTTGTAACCGCTTTAGCCAGCTGTGTGTTGACTGATCTTGCGTTGACCTGGAGCAGCTTATCTACTATTGAAATTTGAACACATATTCAGTTCTCAATTCACACGTCCCCCTTTCTTTGCTTCGACGACGAATTATGACGAATTTTCAATCTAAAAGCAGATTTGGAAGTTTTGTGAAGAGCTTTTCCTAATCAGTACTGAAATGACAAATAGTTATAAGAAATAACAAATTTAGACTAATTAACGAGGAAAATTCGAGATGAGCACGAGTTCTTACACTTCCAAGCAGTAAACTTGCTTATTTTCGTCAATCTGAAAATTTTAATTATGGCAGCAAAACTAACAAAGTTTTTCTACCAATGCGCGCGAAGTTATTATTGCGTATTTCAAAAATGGCCACGTTGAGGATTTTTGCAAAATTAACGAGGAAAATTCGTGATGAGTGCGAGTTTTTACTTCCTAAAGCCATAACTCCGTTCAAACTCATCCAATCTGAAAAGTTAATACGTCATCATAAACTAGAAGATTTGCTCTATTCAACGGTTACTAGAACTGCTAAATACGTTCACTATTTAAAAAATGGCCACGTTGAGGATTTTTGCCCGAGTACCGCCGAAAGGTACTTTTTCGCTACATTAGCACTATTTCCAACGACTATAGCTCCTTTCAGGAGCGATTATATACTAAAGTAGGAGCAGATTCAAAATCCTCGTGCTTTTCTCTTTGCAAAAAGTGTAAAATTGTTTAGCGGGTCTCAACTTTAAAGGTTACATGCTTGTGAATTTGACGCTGAAGGCTGCGTTTCTTGTTGAATAGTGTACTCCTCCTGTAATTTCACATGAACCCTTTCAGAATCCTCTTGATTTTTCCTGAATTGAGATTCTTTCTCCAGAGAGCCGTAGTTGAAGCGCGCGCAACCAACTGGGCCCACTCTGGGATGCGCCGTGTGCTTCACATCAGATTCGAGGACTCACTTGAAAGATAAAATATCCCTTGGAAAACGTGCGAATTTCGGATTCTTTAACTTGTGTGTGATAAAACACTGAAGTAACTAAGAATTGCTAAGCGGACACCTCTGAATCACGAAATTTTGTGTGGGCGGAATAAATTGTTATTGGAAATCCTCTGGCCTGGCATCGATCGATCCTTGATGTTTGTCCTCCGACGGTGATCCTACTGTATCAATCGGGCCCGATCTCTTCCCCCAGCGGGCCAATACGACCCCCCCCCCTCTGTGACGTGTCGAGGATTCCTCAACGCACGCTTGACCCTGCTGCCAAGTCAAATCCATAAACCCGCCCAATCAGACTCCGAGATATGAACTGTAAAGTTTTGCAAAGCTGTTGATAAGAAATTCAATTGTACCTGTCCCTCATATACCTGCCAACGTCCACAATACTTTGGAGTTCGACATGCTCTAGCGAGAAAATGAGTGAGGATGTATAAGTTACTAGTAATTTTGGAACTGATGTGAAAACAAACAGTTTACCCGTCCAGTTTTCCTAGGCCATGTATTCAAATGCATACACTATCGCTAAAAAGTCTTCGGTTTTTTTTTTTTTTTTTCGACTGTGACTTGTTCTGAACGAGATTAGGCCACATTTAGCTATGCTTTGAAGGCAAGCCCTTTCCACTGAACCAGCATATAATGTTGTGCTATTCGCTCAAAATTCCATGAAGAGATGAAGATTCCAGAGGCTTTCATAGAAGTGCGACCATGGCCAATCTTTCCAAAACATCTGGGCTCTGGGAGTGCTCCTTTTCGTTGAGCACATTACATAACTAAATAGCAGCACTGAAAAAAATATAAAGTCGTGCCTCATTGTGATGGCTCTGGGCCTCGGAACAATCTGGCCTTTTCTTCAACAGACTTCTTCCATGGAACATTATATGATCAATTCACAGATGCGTTTGTAACAAATATTGATTTTGCAGACAAATTTCATTGTTTTTCATTTGTAATGCCGACTTGCTCAGGAACGATTTAATTACAAAGCGCAACAACAAAAAAAACGAGCTGGAAGAAAAGCTGCTCTTGCTGGAATTGCGATACAGATTTTAATCATGAAGAGGAAACAATTAGTGACATTATAGACATTCCCACTTGGTTGCTTGCGCCGGCAGGAAGGCAGAGAGCTTTGAAAGTCACCAAGGGACGTCTGTCTCCGGAAACTCTCGAACTGATACGCCAGCGTGGAGCCGCACGAGCTGCAGGCAATCACCGACTCACGTCCGAGCGACGTAAGCAAACCAGCCCTTTTGGCGCTTCGGCTGGGACCGTATGCTGAATGTTGGGGAGGGGATGGAGTCCCCGACGGTGGACGGACCACTTCAACTCGGTCCTTAGAACCGCCACAATTTGGTGCTTACCTCAGAACTAAGCCTTAAAGAGAGGACGGGTCCGTCCCCTCTCCAAGGCTTAGTCCTGGGGTGAGCAAACCAGCCCTTCTGGCGGAGCTGCTGGACCAGCTGCACCACTTGCGTCAGTACTCTCCTATCGTACCAACCGAGTTGAAGTAAACCGTCGACCGTTGGGGACCCCATCCCCTCCCCAACATTCAGCATACGGTCCCAGCCGAAACGCCAAAAGGGCTGGTTTGCTTACGTCCGAGCTTGCGAAGCTATGCAGAGAGGCGATAAAGGAAGATCTCAAGGAGCGAAGAGCAGCAGTATTAGCTGAAGCAGCAGAGGCTGGGAGGAGCATCCGCAATGCCCGCCGAAGCTTTGCCAGCTACAAGACCAAGATGACCTGCCTCCGACGTCCGGATGGAACAGTTACTGCATCCCGAAGGGCAATGGAGAAAGTCATCCACGACTTCTACTCGGATCTCTTCGATAGCCATGTCCATCTGCCCACTTATCAACTGCAACAGGATGGATACGTCGTCCCCTCAGTACTCTCTTCCGAAGTCCGACACGCCATCAAGTCGGTGAAGAATTGTACAGCACCCGGTCTTGAACCTGTCGGAATGCAAAGTACCCAATCCGTGGAAGACTAGCAGGACCGTGTTGCTGTCAAGAAGAGGACTTGGACGACATCGGCAACTATCTTATTCAATCGAATCATCCTTAACAGGATCGGCAGAATACTGAATGAAGGACAGTAATGCGAGCAAGCAAGGTTTCGAGGTCGAACTCGTGAACAGAAGCGGGTTGAGCCTTGGGCAACCAGGGCGTCCCTACTCAGTACATCAAGATTCTTCGTGAGCTCTACAGCAACTTTACGACCAGGATCTCACCATTCTACAAGGAGGTCATCATCGACGTCAAGAGAGGGGACAGGGCGACACCATCTCGCCCAAACTCTTCAGCGCCGCTCTCGAGAACGTCATGCGTCAACTGGAATGGGAAGACATGGGAGTGAAGGTCGACGGCCGGCAACTACACCACCTTCGTTTTGCTGACGACATCGTTCTTATAACGCCGAACATCGAGCAAGCGGAGCGAATGCTGGCTGATTTCGACTGCGCCTGTGGTAAGGTTGGTCTGCAGCTGAACCTAACGAAGACGATGTTTATGAGAAACGGATTGGTTCCTGATGCCCCATTCACGCTCAACGGAACGAACATCACCGAATGCTCCAGCTACGTGTACCTAGGTCGGGAAATCAATACATTTAAGAGCATCGAGGGATTAGTGAAGGAAGACGAAAAACATCCGGCTCCGTGCCCACCTCTTCGATTCCGCTGTCCTTCCTGCCCTAACCTACGCCTCAGAGACTTGGACTCTGCGCAGGCAGGACGAGCATGCGGTCAGCGTTATCCAACGCGCTGTCGAGAGGACGATGCTAGGAGTAACTTTACAAATACGAATGTATATACGAATATATACGAATCGAAGATAAGATGGGCCGGACACGTCATGCGATTCTGCGATGACCGTT